TTATATACCAAGTTGTTGGTACAGTAGGTATACAGTGCATTCGGAAAGTATTCAGAACCCTTCACTTTTTCACGTTAGTCTTATTCTAAAATGGATTAAATAAAAATTCCCTCAATCTACACACACTACCCCATAATGATGAAATGAAACAGGTTTTTAGAAAGGTTTGCAAATGTATTAAAAATTAAAAAAATATATTTTATTTACACAGGTATTAAGACCCTTTGCTATGAGACTCGAAATTGAGCTCAGGTCTGATTGGTGGAGTGCTGCAGAGATGGTTGTCCCTCGAAGGTTCTCCCATCTCCACAGAGGAACTCTGGAGCTCTGTCAGAGTGACCATCGGGTTCTTGGTCACCTCCCTGACCAAGGCCCTTCTCCCCCGATTGCTCAGTTTGGCCGGGCGGTCAGCTCTAGGAAGAGTCTTGGTGGTTCCAAACTTAATCCATTTAAGAATGATGAGACCACTTGGGGACCTTCAATGCTGCAGAAATGTTTTGGTACCCTTCCCCAGATCTGTGCCTCGACACAATCCTGTCTCGGAGCTCTACGGACAATTCCTTCAACCATGGCTTGGTTTTTGCTCTGACATGCACTGTCAACTGTGGGACCTTGTATAGACAGGTGTGTGCCTTTCCAAATCATGTCCAATCAATTAAATTGACCACAGGTGGACTACAATCAAGAGCTAAATTTCGAGTCTCATAGCAAAAGGGTCTGAATACTTACGTAAATAAGGTGTTTTTTATTTGTGATACAATTGCAAAAATGTCTACAAACCTCTTTCCGCTTTGTCATTATTGCGTATTGTGTGTAGATTGATGAGGATTTATATTTATTTAATCCATTTCAGAATAAGGCTGTAACGTAACAAAATGTGGAAAAAGTCAAGGGGTCTGAATACTTTCCGAATGCACTGTAATTTTCATAACTATTAGCTGCCTCTTGTGGATAACCATTAACACTTCTAAGTGGATTGAAATTATGGAATATGTGAGTGTTGAGATTATCCTCAAAATGACAGCGGCAAAGAATAAAACAAGAATCACCCCCTCCTATTTGACTCACAAAAGGCACAATATGTAATGACATTGAAGGTTATGAATATTTATGGTTGTTTATCAACCCAGAAGGAAAATGTGTTTTCCATTAGGAAAAGGAACAAGGCACAGCAGGTAGCTGAATAAAGTAAATATGTATTGTTTAGCTTTATAAAGTTCTTACTTTATAAAGTTGAAATATTAGTGTCATGTTTGGGCCTGAAACTACACCAAGCTTTTTAGAATCTAAAGAAAATTAGAAGAGGTTAATTGTGCTTTAAAATGTTAGTTAAATAATGTACAACTCAACTCTGTCATTCCTTCTATAAATTGATGTTATTGGTGCTGTAGAAAAGTATTTGATTTTCTCCTTATATGTACTGTTTGTCCAGAAGAAAGTGATTTGATAAGTATTGCTGTATTTATTCACGGCAAGTGCCACATTTTTCATACCAGAAAAAATTACGTGTTCAATACTTAATCAATGAGCCAAAATGAATATGAAGAATTGGTCGTTTGCCAGAAGACACCATTTATTGCTAGTTTATTGTAAACAAAAGCAATGTACATACTATATGTAGAAAACATGGCCGTTATCATTTCGTTGTTATATTCTTGATTTGTATTACCATTTTATGACATATACTGAATGTACTTCACAAGACCATGAGAATTAAGTAATTTCCTATTATGTGTATAAACCAAATGTTTGGTCACTCTTCCAGTACCTTTACATAAACCAGTTTGACATTTGTAACTTTTTTACAATCATAATATTACAATTGCTTTAATACACTCAACCAGTTCAAATTTGGAAAATGTGGTACAGTAATAATAATAATAATAATAATAATAATAATAATAAGCCATTTAGCAGACGCTTTTATCCAAAGCGACTTACAGTCATGCGTGCATACATTTTTTGTGTATGGGTGGTCCCGGGGATCGAACCCACTACCTTGGCGTTACAAGCGCCGTGCTCTACCAGCTGAGCTACAGAGGACCACAATACTTGTTGTATGCATGTTTGTCTTTTGCACTCACTCGTTAAGACTTTGATTTTAATGCGTTATAACAAATAAATGTAATTGAAAATAATCAATGTCTGTTGCACTGTATGTTTTATATTCTTTAACAATTAATGAGCTATATCGCAAGCATTGTCACATTAAAATGTTAAATATTTCCTAACAGATATGTGAAATAGTTAATTAAACCCAATTGGCTTGTACGACTATTATCCTCTGAAGAGGAAATTTATTTTTATAGCGGTCCAGATACATTGGGGGAAAAAAAGTATTTAGTCAGCCACCAATTGTGCAAGTTCTCCCACTTAAAAAGATGAGAGGCCTGTAATTTTCATCATAGGTACACGTCAACTATGACAGACAAATTGAGAAGAAAAAAAATCCAGAAAATCACATTGTAGGATTTTTTATGAATTTATTTGCAAATTATGGTGGAAAATATGTATTTGGTCACCTACAAACAAGGAAGATTTCTGGCTCTCACTGACCTGTAACTTCTTCTTTAAAAGGCTCCTCTGTCCTCCATTCGTTACCTGTATTAATGGCACCTGTTTGAACTTGTTATCAGTATAAAAGACACCTGTCCACAACCTCAAACAGTCACACTCCAAACTCCACTATGGCCAAGACCAGAGAGCTGTCAAAGGACACCAGAAACAAAATTGTAGACCTGCACCAGGCTGGGAAGACTGAATCTGCAATAGGTAAGCAGCTTGGTTTGAAGAAATCAACTGTGGGAGCAATTACTAGGAAATGGAAGACATACAAGACCACTGATAATCTCCCTCGATCTGGGGCTCCACGCAAGATCTCACCCCGTGGGGTCAAAATGATCACAAGAACGGTGAGCAAAAATCCCAGAACCACACGGGGGGACCTAGTGAATGACCTGCAGAGAGCTGGGACCAAAGTAACAAAGCCTACCATCAGTAACACACTACGCCACCAGGGACTCAAATCCTGCAGTGCCAGACGTGTCCCCCTGCTTAAGCCAGTACATGTCCAGGCCCGTCTGAAGTTTGCTAGAGTGCATTTGGATGATCCAGAAGAGGATTGGGAGAATGTCATATGGTCAGATGAAACCAAAATAGAACTTTTTGGTAAAAACTCAACTCGTCGTGTTTGGAGGACAAAGAATGCTGAGTTGCATCCAAAGAACACCATACCTACTGTGAAGCATGGGGGTGGAAACATCATGCTTTGGGGCTGTTTTTCTGCAAAGGGACCAGGACGACTGATCTGTGTAAAGGAAAGAATGAATGGGGCCATGTATCGTGAGATTGAGTGAAAACCTCCTTCCATCAGCAAGGGCATTGAAGATGAAACGTGGCTGGGTCTTTCAGCATGACAATGATCCCAAACACACCGCCCGGGCAACGAAGGAGTGGCTTCGTAAGAAGCATTAAGGTCCTGGAGTGGCCTAGCCAGTCTCCAGATCTCAACCCCATAGACAATCTTTGGAGGGAGTTGAAAGTCCGTGTTGCCCAGCGACAGCCCCAAAACATCACTGCTCTAGAGGAGATTTGCATGGAGGAATGGGCCAAAATACCAGCAACAGTGTGTGAAAACCTTGTGAAGACTTACAGAAAACGTTTGACCTGTGTCATTGCCAACAAAGGGTATATAAAGTATTGAGAAACTTTTGTTATTGACCAAATACTTATTTTCCACCATAATTTGCAAATAAATTCATTAGAAATCCTACAATGTGATTTTCTGGATTATTTTTTCTGATTTTGTCTGTCATAGTTGACGTGTACCTATGATGAAAATTACAGGCCTCTCATCTTTTTAAGTGGGAGAACTTGCACAATTGGTAGCTGACTAAATACTTTTTTTCCCCACTGTATGTGACCTTTTCAAGATTCAATATTTGCTGTGCATTTTCAGGATCTATGGACTGTCATTTATAATGTGAGCGTCTAATGTAACCATGAAATGTATCTTCTTTTAAATAAAAAAACATTGTAGCAACATGAATGACCCATGTCATCTGTATTCAGTGTTCAAACCACTGAACAGTATTTCTGTACCAGGAGTAGAGACTCACGTTGATAGCGCAGCAATCTTTCATTGACTGTAAGAGGCCTTGATGTAGCAGTGAGCATGTGTATCATCCACTCACTCAATATGACTGGCTCTTTAGGAATACTGTTAATCATGACTACACCCCACTCATATTACGGTCAAATCAACAACAAAAACAGTCTGGTAAATATACTTATTACAAAATTCCCACCATGAAATAGTCATTTGTTTGACAACACCACTAACACATCCAACAACCACTACACACAACAATTTAAGATTATATATATTCTTATTTTTTATTGCAGTGTACAGTGAAATACTTACACTCAGAGCTCTAACAGTGCAGGTTTTTCCTCTAAAACTGAGGCACTTTCATGTACAGAGGATGAGTGGCTAACAACTTCAATGATATAGTTACAAAAACACTCATTGAAAAATGTATGGAATACTTTTTGGATTATCAAGTCCATCAGTCGAGCACCAGATTCATTTTTTTGTTCAAGCTGGGCTGAAGCATGTTTCAGTATGCTTTCATTCATTAAAAAGTGGTTGGTAAAAGTCTTTCTCCATTGTGGACAATAATGTGTCTCTTGAGGTGATTGGCCGATATGAAAGTCTTTCCACACTGTGGGCATCTGAACTGCTTGCATCCTGTGTGTACCTTCAGGTGGTCTTTGAGTGAGCCTGACTGGGCGAAGCGCTTGCCGCAGTGGCTGCAGCCGTAGCGTCTCTCCCCTGTGTGAACGCTCTGGTGTCGCTTGAAGTTGCTGGAATCAGAGAAGCACTTCCCGCACTGCATGCAGCTGAATGGCTTCTCCCCAGTGTGAACTCTCAGGTGAGTCTTGAGGGTCTGCAGACAAGCCAAAGTCTTACCACATAAACTACAAATGAACAGCTTACCTGCTGTGCAGTCTGTGGTGTAACTCGCAGCGTTGTTATTATGACGGTCATGGGTGACCCAACCATCCTTCATTACCAAAGCATTGGATCCAGTCTCCATGCCTTTTCGTACAGTCATGTGAGGCTCATCTGAGGGCAATGGTGCCTTCTGTCTATTGTCTCTGTAAGCCACAGGTTGTTCGTGCTCAGTTATGGAGCCACTCAGCTTTTCCATCACATAGGGAAAACCATTATCTGAATCAGAGTGAATAGGTACAACATCCACACGAGAGTAAGAGCACTCAGGAAGATCAGCCCCAGGACCCTGGGTGCTAAAGGTCCCAAGTTGTCTGTCGGGCTCAAACATCATACAATCAAAGCCCACATGGTCAAGTATTCCATCACCATTTTCCAATCCTGGGTTTTGAGATATTTTGTTCACACTCAGGTTTTTTATTGATTCTGGCAAGAGGCTGCGGTTGTCTGTTTCGCCACTCACCCATATACAAGAGCTGGCGTTCTCCTGTTTGCTGATTGGTTGAGCAGCCTCTGTGTCGATGTTGGAATGCCTTTCTCCTCCATCAACACTGTGATTTAAAGCTTCTACAAAATAAATAACAGTGTGTGAACGTGAACTGGATGCTCATCATGAAGGTAATCATCAAATATCACAAATCAGTAAGAGGACATGAGCAATTTCAGATAAATGTATTGGTATACAGTGCATTCGGAAAGTATTCAGACACCTTGACTTTTTCCACATTTTGTTACGTTACAGCCTTATTCTAAAATTGATAACATTATTTTTTTTCCTCAGTCTACACCGAATACACAACAATGACAAAGTGAAAACAGATTTATAGAAATTTTCAACAAAAATAACAAATACCTTATTTACATAAGAATCAGACCCTTTGCTATGAGACTTGAAATTGAGCTCAGGTGCATTCTGTTTCCATTGATCATCCTTGAGATGTTTCTATAACTTGAATGGAGTCCACCTGTGGTAAATTCAATTGATTGGACATGATTTGGAAAGGGACACACCTGTCTAAATAAGGTCCCACAGTTGACAGTGCATGTCAGAGCAAAAACCAAGCCATGAAGTCGAAGGAATTGTCCGTAAAGCTCTGAGACAGGATTGTGTCGAGACACAGATCTGGGGAAGAGTACCAAACAATTTCTGCAGCATTGAAGGTTCCTAAGAACACAGTGGCATCCATCATTCTTAAATGGAAGAAGTTTGAAACCATCAAGACTCTTCCTAGAGCTGGCCGCCCAGCCAAACTGAGCAATAGGGGGAGAAGGGCCTTGGTCAGGGAGGTGACCAATAACCCGACGGTGACTGACAGAGCTCCAGAGTTCCTCTGTGGAGATGGGAGAACCATCCAGAAGGACAACCATCTCTGCAGCACTCCAACAATCAGGCCTTTATGGTAGAGCGGCCAGACGGAAGCCACTCCTCAATAAAAAGGCACATGACAGCCCGCATGGAGTTTGCCTAAAGACACCTAAAAATTCTCAGACCATGAGAAACAAGATTATCTGGTCTGATGAAACCAAGATTGAACTCTTTGGCCTGAATGCCAAGCGTCATGTCTGGAGGAAACCTGGCACCATCCCTATGCAGAAGCCTGGTGGTGGCAGCATCATGCTGTGGGGATGTTTTTCAGCAGCAGGGACTGGAAGACTAGTCAGGATCAAGGCAAATATGAACGTACAGAGAGATCCTTGATGAAAACCTGCTCCAGAGCACTCAGGACCTCAGACTGGGGCGAAGGGTCACCTTCCAATAGGACAGCAACCCTAAGCACACAGCCAAGACAACACAGGAGTGGCTTCGGGGCAAGTCTCTGAATCTCCTTGAGTGGCCCAGCCAGAGCCCGGACTCTATCCCGATCTAACATATCTGAAGAGACCTGAAAATATATGTGCAGCGACGCTCCCCATCAACCTGACAAGACTGAGAGGATCTGCAGAGAAGAATGGGAGAAACTCCCCAAATACAGGTATGCCAAGCTTGTAGCGTCATACCCAAGAAGACTTGAGGCTGTAATCGCGGCCAAAGATTATTCAACAAAGTACTGAGTAAAGGGTCTTATGTAAATGTAATATTTCCATTTTATTAAAACATTTACAAAGATTTGTAAAAACCTGTTTTTGCTTTGTCATTATGGGGTATTGTGTGTAGATTGATAACGGGGGGAAAAACAATGTAATCAATTTTAGAATAAGGCTGCAACGTAACAAAATGTGGATGTAGTAAAGCAGTCTGAATACTTTCCGAACGCACTGTAAATCTTGAAAGCCAAAATATTGGCATGAAATATTGGCATGAAATCTGAAGTATTTATAATTAAATACATTCATGAATTGTATGCAGTACGCAGTCTAACATTATTACAATTTTTTCAGTATTCATTATTTGTTTTATATATATATATGTATATATATTTTTTTTATGTTAGTTTATTCATATTTATGTGAAAAGGCAAAATGGTACGGCCTAGAAACTAAGTGTAATGAGATGTGCGTAATACAACACTTTTTCCCAAAAGGCATAAGGAAAACACTTGATTAAGTCAGTCTCCCATTTACTTACCGGTACTTAGTCTCTCTCGTTGGTCATGATTCTCCCAGGCTTCTTCCCGCTTCTCCTCCTTGATGGTAGGTGATTTGGCCTTTATATCATCGAATGCTGCAGGCTGTTGGACACAAGGTAGGGTAACATCAGTTGGGATGCCAGATATACAGTGCCTTCAGAAAGTATTCATAACCCTTGACTTATTCCACATTTAGTTTTGTTACAGCCCGAATTCAAAATGGATTTTTAAAATTATATACACTACCGTTCAAAAGTTTGGGGTCACTTAGATTAGGAAGGTGTTCCTAATGTTTTGTACACTCATTATGTGATTGTATACTTGGGATGTAAGCAAGGTTTGAAATTATTATGTTTTAGTCAAATGTGATATCAATTTCGGCTTCTTGCGGTCAATTTGCAGTCTACAAATTGTAATTATGTTCCGGCCCCCTGACCATCCGCTCAAAAATAAATTAGGCCATGCCTTTATCTACACTGAACAAAAATATAAACGCAAGATGTAAAGTGTTGGTACCATGTTTTCATGAGCTGAAATAAAAGATTCCAGACATTTTCCATACGCACAAAAAGCTGATTTGGCTCAGATTTTGTACACAAATTAGTTTACATTCCTGTTAGTGAGCATTTCTCCTTTGCCAAGATAATGCATCCACCTGACAGGTGTGGCATATCAAGAAGCTGATTAAACAGCACGATCATTACACAGGTGCACCTTGTTTTGGGGACAATAAACGGCCACTCTCAAATTTGCAGTTTTGTCACAACAATGCCACAGATGTCTCATGTTTTGAGGGAGCATGCAATTGGCATGCTGACTGCATGAATGTCCACCACAGTTGTTGCCAGAGAATTGAATGTTAATTTCTCTACCATAAGCAGCCTCCAACGTCGTTTTAGAGAATTTGGCAGTACATCAAATCAAATCAAATCAAATTTTATTGGTCACATGCGCCGAATACAACAGGTGCAGACATTACAGTGAAATGCTTACTTACAGCCCTTAACCAACAGTGCATTTATTTTAAACAAAAAAGTAAGAATAAAACAACAACAAAAAAAGTGTTGAGAAAAAAAGAGCAGAAGTAAAAAATAAAGTGACAGTAGGGAGGCTATATATACAATAGAATAAAGTGACAGTAGGGAGGCTATATATACAGGGGGGTACCGTTGCATAGTCAATGTGCGGGGGCACCGGCTAGTTGAGGTAGTTGAGGTAATATGTACATGTGGGTAGAGTTAAAGTGACTATGCATAAATACTTAACAGAGTAGCAGCAGCGTAAAAAGGATGGGGTGGGGGGGCAGTGCAAATAGTCCGGGTAGCCATGATTAGCTGTTCAGGAGTCTTATGGCTTGGGGGTAGAAGCTGTTGAGAAGTCTTTTGGACCTAGACTTGGCACTCCGGTACCGCTTGCCGTGCGGTAGCAGAGAGAACAGTCTATGACTAGGGTGACTGGAGTCTTTGACAATTTTGAGGGCCTTCCTCTGACACCGCCTGGTATAGAGGTCCTGGATGGCAGGGAGCTTTGCCCCAGTGATGTACTGGGCCGTACGCACTACCCTCTGTAGTGCCTTGCGGTCAGAGGCCAAGCAGTTGCCATACCAGGCGGTGATGCAACCAGTCAGGATGCTCTCGATGGTGCAGCTGTAGAATTTTTTGAGGATCTGAGGACCCATGCCAAATATTTTTAGTCTCCTGAGGGGGAATAGGCTTTGTCGTGCCCTCTTCACGACTGTCTTGGTGTGTTTGGACCATGATAGTTCGTTGGTGATGTGGACACCAAGGAACTTGAAGCTCTCAACCTGTTCCACTACAGCCCCGTCGATGAGAATGGGGGCGTGCTCAGTCCTCTTTTTTTTCCTGTAGTCCACAATCATCTCCTTTGTCTTGGTCACGTTGAGGGAGAGGTTCTTGTCCTGGCACCACACGGCCAGATCTCTGACCTCCTCCCTATAGGCTGTCTCATCGTACATCCAACCGGCCTCACAACCGCAGACCATGTGTATGGCGTCGTGTGTGCGAAGGGCGTGCTCAGTCCTCTTTTTTTTCCTGTAGTCCACAATCATCTCCTTTGTCTTGGTCACGTTGAGGGAGAGGTTGTTGTCCTGGCACCACACGGCCAGATCTCTGACCTCCTCCCTATAGGCTGTCTCATCGTACATCCAACCGGCCTCACAACCGCAGACCATGTGTATGGCGTCGTGTGTGCGAAGGGTTTGCTGATGTCAACGTTGTGAACAGAGTGCCCCATGGTGGCGGTAGGGTTATGGTATGGGAAAGGGATAAGCTACGGAAAACGAACACAATTGCATTTTATCGATGGCAATTTGAATGCACAGAAATATTGTGACGAGATCCTGAGGCCCATTGTGAAGCCCATTTTTTAAAGGTATCTGTGACCAACAGATGCATATCTGTATTCCCGGTCATGTGAAATCTATAAATTAGGGCCTAATGAATTTATTGCAATTGACTGATTTCCTCATATGTGACCCGTTTCAGGAAACTAGGCGTATGTCGCAAGTCACGACTTCACAGGAGAGCCATATATATATACACACAGTGAGGGAAAAAAGTATTTGATCCCCTGCTGATTTTGTATGTTTGCCCACTGACAAAGACATGATCAGTCTATAATTTTAATGGTAGGTTTATTTGAACAGTGAGAGACAGAATAACAACAAAAAAATCCAGAAAAACACATGTCAAAAATGTTATTAATTGATTTGCATTTTAATGAGGGAAATAAGTATTTGACCCCTCTACAAAACATGACTTAGTACTTGGTGGCAAAACCCTTGTTGGCAATCAGAGGTCAGACGTTTCTTGTAGTTGGCCACCAGGTTTGCACGCATCTCAGGAGGGATTTTGTTCCACTCCTCTTTGCAGATCTTCTCCAAGTCATTAAGGTTTCGAGGCTGACGTTTGGCAACTCGAACCTTCAGCTCCCTCCACAGATTTTCTATGGGATTAAGGTCTGGAGACTGGCAAGGCCACTCCAGGACCTTAATGTGCTTCTTCTTGAGCCACTCCTTTGTTGCCTTGGCCGTGTGTTTTGGGTCATTGTCATGCTGGAATACCCATCCACGACCCATTTTCAATGCCCTGGCTGAGGGAAGGAGGTTCTCACCCAAGATTTGACGGTACATGGCCCCGTCCATTGTCCCTTTGATGCGGTGAAGTTGTCCTGTCCCCGTAGCAGAAAAACACCCCCAAAGCATAATGTTTCCACCTCCATGTTTGACGGTGGGGATGGTGTTCTTGGGGTCATAGGCAGCATTCCTCCTCTTCCAAACACGGCGAGTTGAGTTGATGCCAAAGAGCTCCATTTTGGTCTCATCTGACCACAACACTTTCCCCCAGTTCTCATCTGAATCATTCAGATGCTCATTGGCAAACTTCAGACGTCCCTGTATATGTGCTTTCTTGAGCAGGGGGACCTTGCGGGCGCTGCAGGACTTTAGTCCTTATCGGCGTAGTGTGTTACCAATTGTTTTCTTGGTGACTATGGTCTCAGCTGCCTTGAGATCATTGACAAGATCCTCCCGTGTAGTTCTGGGCTGATTCCTCACCGTTCTCATGATCATTGCAACTCCACGAGGTGAGATCTTGCATGGAGCCCCAGGCCGAGGGAGATTGACAGTTATTTTGTGTTTCTTCCATTTGCGAATAATCGCACCAACTGTTGTCACCTTCTCACCAAGCGGCTTGGCGATGGTCTTGTAGCCCATTCCAGCCTTGTGTAGGTCTACAATCTTGTCCCTGACATCCTTGGAGAGCTCTTTGGTCTTGGCCATGGTGGAGAGTTTGGAATCTGATTGATTGATTGCTTCTGTGGACAGGTGTCTTTTATACAGGTAACAAGCTGAGATTAGGAGCACTCCCTTTAAGAGTGTGCTCCTAATCTGAGCTCGTTACCTGTATGAAAGACACCTGGGAGCCAGAAATCTTTCTGATTGAGAGGGGGTCAAATACTTGTTTCCCTCATTAAAATTTAAATCAATTTATAACATTTTTGACATGCGTTTTTCTGGATTTTTTTGTTATTCTGTCTCTCACTGCTCAAATATACCTACCATTAAAATTATAGACTGATAATTTCTTTGTCAGTGGGCAAACTTACAAAATCAGCAGGGGATCAAATACTTTTTTCCCCTCACTGTGTGTATATATATATATATATATATATATATATATATAAATGCATTTTGGGGAAGAAATGCCTTCTGGAGCATGTGAACTTTCATGTGCCTTAATAACAAACTTGTATGCCATCTGTAAATACGAATAAAATTGTTAAATTACGAGCCTTGTTGGTTAAGCCACAGAAAGAGACAGCAACCTTCCCACTAGCCATGATTGGCTGAAATAATGAGTGGAATGGACATGCCGAGAGAGGAGTTCGGATTGGTCTGTCATATAGAAGGCTTCTGTCAGTCTGTGTTGGTAATCCTGTCGAACGCGGCTTTAAAAAAAACATATATGGTGTAGCGGAGCTGCATATGTATTGCTCTCCACTTTCTGGAGGTTTGAGTTTTGAAATCAGTGGAATTAAGACTATGATAGCTAAAGAGATGTCGAAAACACCCGTCTCCGGATTACATCTTCAAACTAAAGGCAACCGTGGCATGGCATCCGAGGGAGACGCGTCCATCATGCATGATGATGTACGGGTTAGATAGTGTAGCTAGCTACATTTTCAGATATTACACGTTTCTAATTTTGACAAAGTGGTTTTATTTCAGGCTAAAGTGTACTGTTAGCTAGCTAGCTAGCTAATGTTTCGTGTATGACGTTATTATTCGTATCCCAGAACCGTTTGCTTTGCTAGTTATAGCCTAATGTTAGCTAGCTAACATTGAACCTGGTTGGTTAGCTCCCAGCAGATTAATGCAGGGTAGTAACGACATGATTTGGCACTATGTTCATTGTTCTCTAACTAGCTAACAGCTGGCTGGCTCGATAGCTAACGTTACGTGTGTGATCTTACACGTTGTTTAGGCCCTGTGTAGCTCAGTTGGTAGAGCATGGCGTTTGCAACGCCAGGGTTGTGGGTTCGATTCCCACGAGGGGCCAGTATGAAAATGTATGCACTCACTAACTGTAAGTCGCTCTGGATAAGAGCATCTGCTAAATGACTAAAATGTAAATGTTTACCTAGCTAGGTTCATTGTTTACCTAGCTAGCTAGCTACATGTCTTAAGCTAAAGTGTACAACACCTGTTGAATATGGCCGGTGTCAGTAGACGTCGGCATAAAAGCGTAATGTAATTGTTGCCAGCAGAGCTGGTTAGGCTGTTTTCATGTTATCCAGAGGTAAACAAATCATCAGCCAGAGCGTCAAGTGTGCGCTCTGAACGCTCCGAGAGCTAAACGAGATGGGTGAGGCTAAAGCTTAAGAGGGTGTGAACGATGATGAATGGGTGTAGACAAAGCAGAGCGCTTCACTAGATACCAAAACATTCAAATGCCATTTTCTCAAAAGTGAGTTTACAAGTATATCAACTTTCAAAGCAGAATTACTTTCCCATTGTTCCTCAAAAATACAGTGTATGATATACCATTTTGTAGCTCTGAGTCTCTACTTTTATCCAATGTAAAAAACAGCATTTCAAATGTTGCTACATAAGACCAATTCCAGGTGGTGAGTCACATATGAACTGTAACTCAGTAAAATCTTTCAAATTGTTGCATGTTGGGTTTATATTTTTGTTCAGTATAGTTGATGATCCCTGATGTAAAGGTTATTCCAAGTTTCTGTGTGGCCTTGGAATAATGTTAGTTTAAAGAGCACTACACACCAAACGTTTGCCCCCTGTTCTATTGATTTCAGCATGATATTGATGGAAGTGATTAACAAAAAGTGTTGCGCTACACTTAGTGTTGGTGACCCACTTGAATCAAAATGAAACACGTAATGTGATTGTCCTCTAACCAGTGATGTACACATTATTCCCAGATGGTTTTTGAGCTGTGTTATTCCTCATCTCCCCCCTCTCGCACAATTTATTTCAAAGAGATTGACAAAGCAGTGTTTCGTTTCTCTTTCTGTTTTGGTGACCCCTGTATCCAAATGTAACATTCCAAAATGTAGCTTACTGTGTTCTGCAGGTTGTCCTTTAACGAGTGATTTAAAACTACATACAGTTTCCATGTGGTTTTTTAGTTTTGGTAGTTTCAAGTGGCAATAAATTAATGACTGATTTATTTCCACTTCTCAAAACAACATGGTTTTTGGTATGTGTGCAGTTTATAAGGTTCTTGTTTAAAAATATACAAGTAATATGATTAGTATTGTTGCACATGAGTGTAGATAGTACATTTATATATATATCAAACTGTTTCTGCATATTGGTTATTGACTTGGACACTAAAATTGTGTTTTGACATTGAGCCATTTATCAAAATGTATTGTCAACAGGAAGCAGTGACAGCATAATTTTCAACTTAAGTTTTAGGCATTTAAATGTAACTTTCAAAACGTATTTCCAATAGTATTGTACTTAACCAGGTAATAACTGCTGAATGAGTCCAAAAAACGTGCTGTGATTTATTTATTTTGATGACATACCAGAAATCACCAGAACGGGTTTGCCCTGCCTACAGGTTATTTTTGCTTCCAGACCTGGTTGTGTTGATAAGCACTTTAATCGTGTGGAAAAATGGGGAACACGTGTAAAAGTAAAACGTACCTTTCTCTGTGTGGTAGTCTGTCCAGTTTCACCTGAGGACTTTCCCTCCCTAAACAGGCTGGTGACCAATTGGGAATCAACTGCTCTCAGACATTGTACATCGCCTAAAATGAGTAGACAAGGGAAATTGTTTGCATTCACACACACAACACACTTTATCAACGTTGTCTTGATAAAGTGGTTTCTAAAATGATGTTTTAACTAATAAATGTAGCTAGTATGTGCTCTATTGGCACGCCCAAATCTTACTGCTTGATGTCCTTTTCGATTCCATGCCAAAGTGAGCTTGAGAGCAACCGTGCGCGAGGGTGGAGCTTCCTATTTCTGCTCTCATAGCACTTCCACGAGACACTTTCAGGTCCATCAGCCGTAGTTTTCTCCTCAATGCTTCATTCTCCTTCTGCCCTCGAGATATCTCCAAATGCAGTATTGCATAGCCATTGTCAACAAGCTCGCAGATTTCAGCCACGGCCGCGTTGGCCAAAACCTCCATGATGGAGGCTAGCTGAGTGTGAAGGGCAACGGAATTTGCCATTTTTGGACCAGAAATTCCCTCAGAATAAGTTAATGGACGAACTGTGGGAAAAAAATAGATGTAGAAGTATAGATGTATAGAAGGCGATGCATCGAAATCACATTTATTGTAGCATCACTAAAATGTAAACATACAGTGGCGGCCTTATTCTTGCTAAGTCTTGCTTATTCTGATCAGCGTCTTCTTCGAGGTTTATTGGAAGACTACACTCATAAGGTGAACTTCCGCCACGCGCCACCTACTGTACCGGGGTAGTAAAAAAAAGACCCTCCCAAATGTGTTTTTGTTTTGGATGAACAAATTCATACTTATTACCAAAAACACTACCCAAATTCACGCTACTACCCTGAATTTAAAACAAAAACAAAAAAACGGTACTCCTTCAGTCGGATTTAAATGTATATTCAGATCCCTACACAGGGTCAGGAACCTGGGAGGGAGGACCCTCTTCATTCAGTACTCCCTGTAACATTTCGGCTGTAAAGTCCTGGAGATCCAGAAATCTATTGGCTGACTTCACAATGATGTCTAGCTTCTTAGATGTTGTAATAGTTTGACTAGTGCAATTTATCACTTGCGCTATAAACGCAACAAATGTCACCTTCTTCACTATTAGTGTGTCGGGATCCTTCTCCTGCATAGCATTCACTGCAGACTGTGGGACATCCACTACCATCTACTTAAGCTATTTTCACTGCCTCTACATAGGATACCTGCTGGATGGCCCTGATCCTAGCTACTGCGACCTTCATCGTACAGGGCACTCCGAGAAATCGGGAACATGATTCCCATCACAATTACAACAACATGCGAGCCGAATAGGTGAAAAATCTGTCGATGTGCCCTTGAGCAAGGCACTTAACCCTAATTGTTCCTGTAAGTCGTTCTGGATAAGAGCGTCTGCTAAATGACAAAACATGTAAATGTTATGCTTCATCTGACTCTTCAACTACTACATATTTATTCCTTCGACAAACACTGCAGCGGCTTCTGTACATACGGTCTCACCACATATATATATAAGTTTTACATACGTTTGGGGAACCACTTCATCAAACGACAGTAAAACCGATAGGCTTTGCTCCTTCTTTCCGTCTATCATTCAACTCAAGCTACGTACGTCTACCACTCCTAGCATGTTATCCCTAAACCACACATCCTCTGTCCAAAGAAACACCTCGATCAGCGTCTCATTAGCAACACAAAAAAAGTACTTCCGGGTCACGATATTCCGATTTTTAAAAATAAAAGTCCCCCACGTCATAGTAGACAAGTGTCAATAGCAGTGCTTAATATGAGCCGGCACCTCTCCGTTTTTAACTGTTTTGTTGCGGAACCTATTTGGCCAGATAATAAAAGCGATCAAAGTTCATTCGAGTTGCCTCTTCGTTGCCTGCCCCCACAAAGAAACGTCATTTGAAAAAGTAGATTTTCAGCCCGGTACTAATATTCTAAGAGTTTATTCGGATTGACAGCCGTCCCATATATATTGCAAAATAGTTGGGAAGAGATTTTTGACGTACCGATCCCATGGCATAGTGTCTATTTAAATTATTATATACAATTCTTGCTACCAATAGAATGTTATTTATATGGGGGATACAATCTTCCCAGCTCTGCAGATTTTGCTGTGAAGAGACAGAATCATTAGATCATTTGTTTTGGTACTGTCCATTTGTAGCTTGTTTTTGGACACAGGTCCAGGAATGGCTAAAGGATTGCAATATTTACCTGGCGCTAACCCTGCAGATAGCATTACTGGGTGATCTGAAAAGTCATAGTCAATCGATCAATAATATAATAATACTTTTAGCAAAAATGTTTATTTAAAATGTACAATTTGTAGAAACAATGAGAATAGTAAGGTTCAGAACTTTTGTAAAACATCACAGTACAGTTGAAAAATATATGGCAAATAAAAATCCAAAATGGATGGTGTTAAGCTATAGAGCGGTGGTGTTGAATGGAGCTGAAGGATGGGACTAATAACAACAACTAATAACAACAAGATAACTAATGTAAAGCATTCTGTGTCCATAATAAGTATATAGGTTATAGGTTGAGAGCTTTTGTGAAAGAGCACAGTTCGAAAGATATGGCATATAGAAGCAAACCGGATGGACATCATGAAAATGATCGGAGAGGTTGAGGGTAGAGGAAGTTCAGGAGTAAAAACAAACAAAATATAATTATTGTAAAATTGACTGTGTCCATAAAATGTATATAGTATGTATAAGCTGGAAGTAGAGGTCTAAGCATTGTTGTTCACTAGTTTACTCCAATTAGGGAAGGGGTGGTGGGGTTGGAAAGTAATAAAGGGAAATATATTTTTAAAAAGGAAATGTATATTTACATTTTAGTCATTTAGCAGACGCTCTTATCCAGAGCGACTTACAGTTAGTGAGTGCATTCATTTATGTATATGTATATATATATATATATATATATATATATATATATATATATATATTTGCGAGAGAAAAAAAAAACATATGGGGGATTGGAAGTGATGCAGACAATTACATTGATGGAAGTTACAATCTATCTGCTATATTAAAGCTGATCTTCCCCCTAAAAAAATCATTTAAAAAAATGAAAAGTTGATTCGGGTTGGGCCGGCCGGTTTATGGTTTGCGCAACATTGTAACCTGTTTGAGACCAACGCGTGCCGTGGCTGTGTGAGAAGCAAGCAAGTATCTCTCACATAACTAGAATGAGATTCACTTTCTATGAACTCTCTCCTTCTCTGCTCTGATAGACATGAGCCTACAACAATCATCTCTCCGGCGTTGCACTTTTACATTTATTTCCTTATAGAATCATAGCCGCGTGAAGGGTTCTGAAGGAACTGCAGCACCCCGATACATTTAAATACATTTGCCAAAGTTATAGAATAACCGCTGTCTGTTCAGAAATAAATGAAGTCAACTACACCATGAGAAGGCCTATAATTTAGCCACAGAGGATCAATAGCTTCTTTTTTTAAATAGCTTAGCTGTGGATTGTAGCCCAATAACAAGGAATAGCCTACAGTCGGGAACACGTGGCAAATCTGCAAGCAGACAAAACAGGACTTTCGCAATATTTCAAATAAAATCGAGGAAAAACACAGGTTTGAAAGCAAAATGGCTCCTGTTGAAAACAGAAGACCAAAATATTTGATCAACTTCCAAATATTGTTTTACAAAAAAGAGAGGGGAGAGATAGGCTTTTGGCAGGAGCGCATTGGCCATCACCAGCAAGTGAGCTGCGCATAATTGGGTGAGTCAGTGAAACTGGAAAGTATTTTTATTACTATAATTTCCTCCTCATATTGTAGGCTACAATACAGTATGTCTACACACACCTAGGCCTAGGCTATTGATGGATTCAAGACAAGGTCGTTTTTATTGATCTCAGATTCTCAGTTTGTCAGTGTCAAAGTAGCCTGCTATTTCTATCATTTGTGAGGTATTAAAAAAGATTCTGCCTAAGTCTCCAGTCATGTAAAATGATGTAGAATTGCATGGAATGCTTTTTTAAAAGGACATTTTTTTCCTGGATCCTAGCCTACCCATTTTTTCCCCCCCATGTGTGCAACTTCTGTAAGTGCCTCCACTCTACTGCTCTATGCCAATAAGCAAACGCGATGATATGCATGCATTGCTTCATTATAGAGGAGTTTATTTTTATTTTTCATGCATTCAGGTACCTCAGAACTCCCCAGGTCACCCCCCTCTTGCGCACACTTTTTGTTCTGGCACCTCCTGATTGACAAATTAAGTGTAAATTAAAAGTATTTTACACACATCATATATGTGTTCATTACAATCTATGCAAGAATCGGAATGCATGACTTGTCACCGGTACTTGAGAACATGTGAATAAAACAGTAAATACATTATGATCCATATATTCATACGGTGTGCTACAGCACACCTCTGGTTTCCACCCCGAGTCTAATGGGCAGGTGGAACGGGTAAATCAGGATGTGGGTAGGTTCCTGCGGTCCTACTGCCAGGAGTGTTCTTGCCATGGGCCGAATATGCCCAGAACTCTCTCCGTCACTCCTCCACTAACCTAACGTCATTCCAATATGTTTTAGGTTACCAACCGGTTCTGGCACTGTGGCACCAGAGCCAGACCGAGGCTCCTGCGGTGGATGACTGGTTTTGGCGCGAAGAGGAGACGTGGGACGCTGCCCACATCCACCTCCAACACGTCGTGCGTCTTCAGAAAGCCAACGCTGACCACCACCACAGTGAGGCCTCGGTCTTCGTACCGGGTGATCGGGTCTGGCTCTCGACCCGGAATCTGACCCTCCGCCTGCCCTGCTGGAAGCTGATCCCGCGGTTTGTGGGGCCGTTCAAAGTCCTGAGGAGAATCAACGAGGTTACCTATAGGTTATTACTCCCCCATGATTACCGTATTAACCCCTCGTTTCATGTGTCTCTCCTCCGGCCGGTGCTGGCTGGTCCGCTCCAGGAGTTTGAGGTGCGGGAGGTCCCTCCGCCTCCTCTGGACATCGAGGGGGCCCCGGCGTACTCCATCCGTTCCATCCTGGATTCGAAGCGTCGGGTGGGGGGCC